ACATTTATAAATTTCAAAGTTTTAAGTTAAAAGAAATCAATGACAAAAGAAAAAGAAAGAAGTTAAAAGAAACCAGTGTCAAAGTTATCTTGCTTTCGAGATTCTCTTTTCTTAAAATAGAAATATCATTGTTGATTTAAATTTTAGCATACGAATTTTACTTGGTTATTACATATTAAATAATTTTAAGAACCAATTTTGGTCTGCGACTGTACGAAATAAAGAGTCTTGATGCACGCTCACGCGTGTACACTTCCCAACCTCAAGCATGCTCTCTCTAAAACAGCCTGTCTCATTTTTAAAATCCAAAATATTGTTTTGTCAACTGAAAATTCAAAACAGTTTTAGAAATCATACTCCAATCAATCTCCTTGTAAATAAAGTACGGTTTTGGAAAAAAATTTCCAAAGGTGTGATTTAGTAAAATTTAAATCTTAGATGATAACCAACCGGCTTATTTAGGATCAATATTCAAATATCACTTCCCTAATATAATCTCACTATGAATATAATAATAAAAATTTGAGATATTTAATTTGTGTAAGTTTGGTTAATAAGAATAAGTTGTATATATAATTAAGAGTGCAAAATGGATAGTATAATTAAATAATTGACAAAAAAGTAAGAATAATTAAGGGCTTGACACATAAACATAACTCTCTTTTAATATATAAATGATACGACTAAGCATGACCAAAAGCTAACTGTAACCGTATTTCGGACCGTAACTGTATAATACGGTTAAAACAGTAACCGTAAACCGTAAAAATAGATTAGTTACGGTTAAAAATATATTAACCGTAACCGTTAATTAATCGTAAATGTATCAAATCCGTTAGTTAACCGTACGGTTAACCGTATGGTTAACCGTACGATTAGCCGCACTATTAACTGCATAGTTAAAAACTTTAAAAATATAATTGTAACTACATAAAATGCAAAAACGATAAATATCGAATGTTCAGATAAAGATTTTCAAAAAAATAATAATAATACCACATATGAAAAAATCTACGTTACAAAAATTGGTCTTTTCTCAAACAAATATGTTGTTATGCTATATTGCTCGAAATGAAGAAAATTTGGTTCATAACATACTTTTTCATCTTATTAAAATAGTATAAAAAGTCATATAACTCGTAAGATTTCGCCTTCGATATTAACCGTATTGTAATCATTAAATAACCGTAACCGTATTGAACCGTAACCGTTGTGACCGTAACCATATTTAACCGCAACCGTTTTAACCGTATATAATGGTTAAGGTTACGGTTAAAAAAAATTTATAACCATAACCGATGGTTAATCAACCGTAATCGTAATAACCGTAACCGTGGTCATGCCTAGATACTACACGATCATTTCTAAGAAGGCTAAGTTTTCTAAAATCCTTAAAAAAATTTCTACATCTAATTTAATAAGAATACGTTTAGGAATTTGCTTGTTAAGTTTAAAAAATTTCCTTGGTATCTTCTAAAACAAAACTGAAATGAAGTATTTTTAGGATTTCCCATTATTCAATTATACAATGATAATAATTTAAAATAGTATCCTTTCTTTGAAATTCCAATGTAAGTGTTTGATAAAAAAAAACCTAATTTTTACATATTAAAAATTTTAAAATATATGTAATGAAAAAAATTCCAAAGACCAAAAATCAACTTGTTTTTTAGGGTATTGCAAAGAAAATTTTGAGCTTGATTTATCAAGTGAGAGGCGGTATCCTACGAAATTACGGTATACGCTTGGAAGTATGGGAAAAAAAAAAGTAATTTAAGAATTCTTCGACGCTCAATTCAATAATATCGACCAGGCCCAAAGCTAGAAGATTATGAGAGAAATAATTGTTTTCTTATAAGTCGAGCTGGAAAAATTATCCACGACACAATCCGTCAGTTCTAAGCAAAATTACAGTAAAAATAAAGTCAAGACGTGATTTTTCAAAAACTTAAGAGACGTAGCGTTTGTATTTTTTGGAAAAAGATCGTATATGTAGCAAATACCTAGCTAAAATTTGTATACCAGATTTAGTCAAGCTTTGGATCTCCCTGGAGCCCAAGTGCAATTTTCAACTTCACTATCGTTTTGTACTTTATACCATATATCTCAAATTTAATTTCCTATATATATAAGGTTCTTTAAAGAGTATATATGTACAAATAACGTATGATGCTTTGTTGTTTCTACAAGGATGATTTGCTAAGTCAATCTTCTTATCTTACAAGTACATGGAACGAGAAAAAGGGAGAAACAGTAAATAGACATATGTATATATATCTACATGAACATATCTTAGACCTCGTGAAGATATGGGAAAAAACTAAAAGAGGGTTACTAGCTACTTCACCTAGACCTCAATTATGGGAACACACTTAATTAGGCGATCATCAGTGAATACAAGATAGAGATAGTCTTATCTATCAAATTGTTTAATCATTTATCGAGTTTGGGATCCTTAATGGCATCATCAATGGGGATCATGTGAGGGTGTTCTTAGAGAAAATATAATGTTAAAATAATATAAGATCATGTGTTTAGATCTTTTATTTAGAAGTTGATTAGTGGGAGAACATGTGTAAGATCTTAAGATTTAATAATATAATAATCTACAAATTTTAAAACATATTACAATTATTAAAACATTTAAAAATAGCATATAAATTGCAAACTTTAAAAACTGAAAATAAAAGTGAAAATACAATACTAAATATTGTGTCTCCTATCCCTTTTCTCCCAACCAATGCCATCTCGCCACGTCACCCCCGCAACACAAAGAAGAACTGATCCAGGATGAGAGCGGGCAGACTGATCTTAAGCCCATAAGCCCATTATTTTGGATTAAAAAAAGGTTTAGATCAGGGGGGTGGTCCTGCAATGTAGATGGCCTTAGAACTAGCTAGAATGACTAATCTATAAAACAAATTAAATAAGTTGAACAAGAAGACTCGCAGAAGTTAAGTTACACTTAGTGCTACAAAATTCGCTTAACATAATTTTACATATTGCACTAAATGATTAGTCTAACAGTATTAGCTCAAAGCAGGCCCGTCTCAAAATTATATTAGACTTTGTGCCTAAATCTAAAATAAATCAAATCTTTAATTCAAAATTATGGACCATTTTCTATAGAATTTTTAAAATTTTAAGGTCTTTTTATCTAAAGAAAATTTAAGAAGAAAAAAAAAGACCCAGTACTTTTACACCTTGTGCACATGCTCTAAGCCGGCCTGGCTCAAAGATATGATATAATCAAACGTTTTTTTTTTTTTAATGTGTGAAAATGTCAAAGTAACATTTAAATTGAATTATTACTCACAAAAAAACTAACGCTAGTAATCATATGTCTGTCTTTATATATAGTTATATACGTCTCTCAATTCATTTAACAAAAGGTATGTTATTCTGAAAATATAGAATCAAAATTCAAATAGTCATACAGTAACCATAGAATTTTAGTTCATCTGTTATGAAATGAAGATTTTTTTTTTGTCAAATTGTTATGAAATGAATATAAAACACTTTTTTTTGAACAAACTCACTTATATAAAAATTACTCAAACAAATTTTCAGTATTTATATCCACGAAGGTAAACAAATGCTTACAAAAAATAAAGTTAAAACGGTCCTCTCAAACAAGAAAGTCCGCTTTAACACTACTATTTCGCGGTTCATGAACTAATACAAACTCTCATAATAAACTTTTATCGTTTTAAAATTTAATCAGCCACAAATAATCTAAACACAGTTATTGTTTTTAAGAAATGCAATTTAAATTAATGATGAAAATAATAAAATTAGATGTTTTAGTTTTTTTTCTTAGACCACAATATTTTAAAATCCATAATTATACAACAATCAGTTTATGGAAAGTATTTAACAATGACTGAATTTATGGAAAGAATTTAATTTCGTTTGTCCGTTTAACAGTTGGACAATCCTAGATTAACAAGAATCAAAATGTATCTCCAGAATAATGATGCGATATAAATGATAGTAAACCAAATCTTATACTTAACACACTTTCCTATCTCTAACAGAATTATCTTTAAATTTCTCCATTCAAATAAAACCTATTTTCTTACCTGGTTTTTTAACACAATTAAATTGCACAAAAGTTAGAAAAAAAACAAAAGAGTCTTTTAGACTAGAGGGAGCAATAGTAATACTGATTCCGGTTCAACAACCAAACTAGTGAACAATATATGGTTACCATTCTGATTCTGCAAAAGATCTTTTTGATAAATCTAAAACAGATAGAATCATAGAAGTATAATTTATCACCTGAGGATAGGGAAACAAGTGTTTTTTGGGTTGAACCCAAACCGGTACTACGCCTAACTTAACCCGGGATGATCACTTGGATTTATGAACTTGGTTCAATTATATTCGGTTTGGAAACTCACCAAAATCAAATAAAATAAACTCACTTCAATTTGCATATGTTTAGTCTAGGGTTAAACGACAACACTATTACTAACTATTAGAGTACACTACAAATCTTAGTCATTCTGGTTAAGTTTTGGTTTAATTTCGGTTCACTTGCGAATTTTCGTATAATCGAGTTTATCATCGGTATGGTTTAAAAGAAACCAAACAAAACAATTTGGTTTAGTTTTGGTTAGGTTTCAAAGATTCTTTCAAAGTCTCCTCAGAAAATGTTTTCTTTTGTAATGTAAAGAAAAATAAGAAACCAAAAATGGAAAAAACAAAAAAAAAAATTATTAAGAAAACAAAATGCAGAAGAAGATGATCACACACAAGTTATATCATAGCCATTTATAGATAGATAGAGAGCTAAAGAAGATTCCTTTTTTATCTCTGCTGGAAAAATCTTTTTGTCTCTCTCTCTAAATCTAAATAACATTTATATATATACTCTCCTCTCTCTCTAGACCCATTAACATATTTAATCCATAAATTATTACTCATTTCTTCTTCGTCGACGTTCTTGCACATCAAAAACTCTCACTTTCTCTTTCTCTCTCTCTCTACAACTTGCAAAAAAAAAAAAATCCAATTTTTTCGTTGAAACGATGACTGTGGAACAAAATTTTGAAGCTTTGGATCAGTTTCCTGTAGGAATGAGAGTTCTTGCTGTTGATGATGACCAAACTTGTCTCAAAATCCTTGAAACTCTTCTTCGTCACTGCCAATACCATGGTTCTTCTCTCTCTCCTCTGTTTTCTTGAATTGACCATTTTCGTTTTCTTGGATCTGTTTTTTCTTCTTCTTTAGATTCATGTTTCTTGATCTGGGTTTTGGATTTGTATTTGAACCATATAGTTGGAATCTTTTAAAAAGTTGATTCAAATCTAAAAATCTTATCTTTTTGATTTTGTAAGATTTGATCTATCTACTCAAATCTTGATTTGCTACATGTGTGTCAGAGAGAGAGTTTATTGTTGAATTGTGTGTCTGTTGCAGTTACAACGACGAACCAAGCACAAAAGGCTTTAGAGTTATTGAGAGAGAACAAGAACAAGTTTGATCTGGTTATTAGTGATGTTGACATGCCTGACATGGATGGTTTCAAACTTCTTGAGCTTGTTGGTCTTGAAATGGACCTACCTGTCATAAGTAAGTCAATTATTAATTTTCTTATTTTTAATCACATTTTTTTTGTCATTAATGATGACTAACAGGAATAAAGTTTTGATCTTTAGAGTTTTGGTTTTTGTGATGATGATGATGTCTTGTTGTTTAACTCTCTGCAGTGTTGTCTGCTCATAGTGATCCAAAGTATGTGATGAAAGGAGTTACTCATGGTGCTTGTGACTATTTGTTGAAACCGGTTCGTATTGAGGAGCTGAAGAACATATGGCAACATGTGGTTAGAAGTAGATTTGATAAGAACCGTGGGAGTAATAACGGTGACAAGAGAGATGGATCGGGTAATGAAGGTGTTGGAAATTCTGATCAGAACAATGGGAGAGCTAATAATAGAAAACGTAAAGATCAGTATAATGAAGATGATGATGAGGAAAAAGATGATAATGATGATTCGTCGGCTCAAAAGAAGCAACGTGTTGTTTGGACCGTCGAGTTGCATAAGAAATTTGTTGCAGCGGTTAACCAATTGGGATATGAGAGTAAGCTTAATAATATGACTTGATTGTTTAAATGAAACATTCTTTTACTTGTTTTAATTTTGTGTGTTGTTTTGATTGCAGAGGCTATGCCTAAAAAGATTTTGGATTTGATGAATGTTGAGAAGCTCACTAGAGAAAATGTGGCTAGTCATCTTCAGGTAACAAAGAATCTTTCATGTTTTTAACCGAAGCTTTGTTTTTAAACCTTGAAAGCTTATGACTTTGTTCGTTGTGGCTGCAGAAATTCCGCCTTTACTTGAAGAGGATCAGTGGTGTGGCTAATCAACAAGCTATTATGGCAAACCCTGATTTACATTTTTTGCAAATGAGTTCTTCTCTCAATGGACTTGACGGTTTCCACCACCGCCCAATCCCTGTTGGATCTGGTCAGTTCCATGGCGGGGCTCCTGCAATGAGATCTTTCCCTCCAAATGGGATTCTTGGCCGACTCAATACTCCTTCGGGGATCGGTGTCCACAACCTTTCTTCTCCTCCTGCAGGAATGTTCTTGCAAAACCAGACTGATCTCGGAAAGTTTCACCATGTCTCATCACTTCCTCTTAACCATAGTGATGGAGGAAACATACTTCAAGGGTTGCCACTGCCTTCAGAGTTCGACCAGCTTCAGACAAACAACAACAACAACAACATTAGAAACATGAACAATAACAAGAGCATCGCCGGGACTTCCATGGCTTTTCCTAGCTTCTCTACGCAACAAAACTCGATCATCGGTGCTCCTAATAACAATCTCGTGGTTCTAGAAGGTCACCCACAAGCATCTCCGCCCAGCTTCCCGGGACACCAGATCAATAAACGTTTGGAGCATTGGTCAAATGCTGTATCCTTGTCGACTCTTCCTCCTCCTCCTGCTCAGAACAGTAATAGTATCCATCATCACTTTGATGTCTCTCCATTACCACATTCTAAACCCGACACTTTGGAATGGAACAATGTGTCATCAAGCTACTCTATACCATTCTGTGACTCTGCCACTACATTGAGTCCTCCTGCTTTGGATACAAGTACAACAAATCCCCGAGCTTTCTGCAGAAACACGGACTTCGATTCAAACACAAATGCGCAACCTGGAGGCTTCTATGATACATTGCAGACTCGGCAATCAGGCAATTATGGTCCAACCACGGATGCTATGTTGAGTAGTAACCCGAAAGAAGGGTTCGTCGTAGGCCAGCACAAGTTACAGAGTGGTGGATTCATGAGTGCAGAAGCTGGTTCCTTAGATGATATAGTCAACTCCACAATGAAGCAGGTGTGACATTAAAGCCAGTAGAAACCTTTTTTTATTTGAAAGAATATTATGATCTCTGACATTGTGATCTCGTGAATGTGATAGGAACAGAGCCAGGGAGATTTGTCTGGAGGAGATTTGGGATATGGAGGCTTTAGTTCACTCAGAACATGCATATGAGAGAACAAACATTTAGACATAAATCAAATATCATCATCTTGTGATTGCTTTTGTCTTTTTCTTTCTCATCTTTTGTGTATCAAAAACTGTAAACTATTTGTTTTCCCACTGGTTCTAGCAATTTAGGACTTCATAAAAGAAAATAATAAAGAAAAAACTTTCACTTATTTTAATGTATAGTCTCTTTTGTTTTCTCTGCAGTTTTTGTATCTGTTAAAACAACCAAAATTCACGAGCCTATGAAGAAACAACCCTATATAAAAAAGTCTATGAAGGAAAAAGTGATGATGACGAATTTAAAGCAACAAAGATTCCTTCGTACACTCGAAACCATCATGTTAAAGTCAACCCAAGTTTGTAGTATAACATTGTTGTGTTTGTATGTTACATTATTTAGTTCTGTTTTGAGGATGAAGTTTTTGATTGAGAAAGTAAATAAAAAATATACATTTGTATCATTGAGCCAAACCGAAACAGACGACGCCTAACCGGAAACAGAACCGGACTTCATCGAGCCAATCAACACACTTGTAAGTAGCTTGAGATGCATAACTAGCAGCTTTTGCATAGACCATTTGAAGTACCAATAATTTCATTATTTTGAAACTTTGGAACCGGAACAAAAATAACTTTTTTAAAAATAGCAAAACATTAAGAATATCAAAGTTAGCCTAAAATGTTCCCAATGTTTGCATAAGCAGAAGCTAAGTCTTACAGAAGGAAGAATAAGTCTCATACATCATAATTTAACAATAGATAGTATAACAGTTCCTACTTCATGACCCCTTTGGTCTTGAATCTTTAGACACTTACCAGTTGAGTCAATCCACGACCATGTTCTTTGGCTTCTCTTCTTCTTTGGCTTCTTCCATTTTCACATCAACACTTCCACTAGCTTCAGAAGTGTTCTCCTCTCCCTCCATCACATTCAGATCGACGACGCCACCTCTTAACGGTTTTGTTTCTTCGGCCGTGTCCTTCATGTCAACATTGTTTAGGTTTGGCTTGGTGTCGTTTTCATGTGACTTTGATTGGTCAAGTGGAGTCGAAAGGATCTTTCTAAGGTTACCATTGATAGATTCGAGTGCACGGAAGCTCTCATTCACCTTGGTACTTGGTGGTTGGTTGTTTACATATGCTTGGAGTGATTCACGAGCGTTCTCATTAAAAACTTTGCACATCTGAATAACCGCAAAGAGATTAGTGTGATATACTGGTTCTAGACATTAGCCTTCCACCAAATAAAAAAAAACCACAGCTTACTTGGTTATAATGTTGAGCTATTTCAACCCGCGCTTGGTTGTTGTCAACAGCAGCCACCATAATTTCTTCTGAAGCTGCAGCGAGATTCAGAGAGCTCACATTAGAACCAACAACTCGTTAAATAAAGAAACTTGTGATGGAACTTACTGATGGGATCAGTCTTAGGAAGCCCATCAAGCATTTCATCATCGACCTCAATAAAGCTCACTCCCACTGTGTCAGCGACCTTCGGTTCAGCTTCTGGTTCTTCAGTAGGGATAGATGATGAGCCACCAAGTCCCTGCAACCAGAGATTCAATCAAAGTTAAAACAATTCAGCGGAAGACATGTGAATAAGTACCAACACTGCAGATAGACACAACATACATAATAATCCTCTGCATATTCATAATTCAACGCTTTCTCCAAAAGCAGAACTCGCTTTTTCACAAACTCAACAAGTCGTCTCTGCATATCCCGATAGTAGAACATCGAGTTTACTTGGACCCCATCACCAGAAGTATTATTGTTCCCAGTAATACTGCTTCCAGGATTCTGGTTAGTCTGTGCTCCCAAATTGGAGCCCCCACTACCATTCTGCCCCTGCAAGCCAGCTTGTTCAGCAGCAGACAAACTTATGTGAGGGAAGTTCAATTCCTTGCAGATAAGCTCTTGGATCCCTAAGTCTTTGTCATCAACAATAGCTTGCCATCGCCCGTACCCATGCCTAAAGATTCAAATATCCAGAGAAGAAAAGAAAATGTGAGCAAGTAATGGAAAATGGTGAGAAAATAAAACTATTCGGTGAGAACAGTGGTGCAGGGTTCATACTTTAAAACAGCACGTATCATTATCTTGTCATGTTCCTCCTTCCAAACTTTTCCACTTCTCAATCCGGGAAATCTTTCAAGAATGCGGGCTGTGAAAACAGGTTTCGCTGGATGATCTTCTACAAATTTCACCTGTCGGGCCAGAGCACCAAAAAAACATAAGTAACCCAGGATTAAAACTCGGGAAGATAGCTTAAGAAACAAAACCTCAAGAGACTCGCTGCTTCCTCTAGTTCGGTAAACATAGAAAATGAAGCAGAACATAACCAAACGTTTTACCACATGAATGCACAGATCCTAGAATCTTAGAGAGGTTTGTATTAAAAAAATAGGTATAGAGCAAAACTATAGCCTAGAAGCAACAGGTACAAAAAAAATAGTGTTACATTTCTGTATCTAACCCAATGTCCACAATAACAGTAAAACAAAGATACAGAAAATTCAATCACTGAGTGGCCACACTGAGCATTGGCTCTCAGAAGACAACTCAGAAAGGAAAGAGAGAATGTATTAAAGAATTACAGTCGATAGACTCACCTTCTCCTGTACTAGTATCAGAAGAGCAATTCTGACTAGAACATCTTCTATTCTAAGTCCTTCCTTTGGCACACCATCTATAGACAACGACCATTATATCAATATATTTAACTGGTTAACAGAAGAAGCAACAATCTAATTTAGGGAAAAGCAGCAAACAGTGAAAAGATACAATTATCAATCACCTGAAAAGGTTGGAGAGTTCTCGTCAATATCTTCAGCAATGTGCTTCAAGAAGAGTATTCCATATCTGAGAACAGTCATTGAACAATTAGTTGATGAAATAGGATTGGTCTTTTCAAAGAATAAACCAGAAAGCCTTTTTATAGTAATGCGTTTTTTGTAAAGAAGCAGAAGAGAAGAGCATTAAACGGTGGAGCCCTTACTCATTTATTTCGTCATAGGTCTTCTGCTTTAAGCGAGGAACAAACTCCTTCCAATCGAAATTACCAGCTCCATACCTGCAATTATTTTGGCCAGTCAGAAAAACTTGTAAATAATGTGCAGTACGAGACTGGGGATAATTTAGATGCATCCGGAGATAAAACTGTAAATTTTATACAGAATAGTTTCCGGTGTCTAAAGGCCTTATTGGAAAGAAGTTACCTCATCAACGTCTGTACAAAAATGGCCCTTTGACTCTGGTTGAAACCCAGTACTCTGAAAGATCTCCCCTCGCCTTCCATCAAAGGAGTTGGCTCCGAGTTATCTATAGCAAAAAACTCATCTTATAAATGCGCACAGTTTTAATATCACTAGTTTTCCGCTCCATTACAAATGAAATAAAATCAGAAACGTGGTAATACCGCGACCCTTTCTTCTGTACGGCCGTCGACCCGTCTGAACTTCTTGTCCCGCTGCTTCAGCATCTGTTGACTCGGCTTCATAACTTTCATCTCCATCAGAGCTCACATCTTCCAAACCAGCAAGATCATCTTCTTTAATGGATACCAACTATGAAAAAATCCCATAGAAGAATTAGAACAGCCTTTATTGAAAGACATGAAACGATGATAGCAGACCAAACCAATGTATATTGTCAGTAATAGAGCTATGTCAAGTAAATAGAGAGTGAAACAAAACGTATTTCTTGCAGAGGAAAACAGAAGACTATAGCTACTTAAGCCTCTACCAACCCCAATTACTTGATCCAACATGTAAACCCTTAAGATCTGTCGAAACAGTTGATAGGAGGACAAGGACGTTTAGTGTTTATTGGATACAGTCAACTAAATTATTACTTCCTGAATTTAGCTACCTAAGGAATTCAAAAGGGAAAAATAAGGTGACATGAAACAGATATATGAAATAGGACATAATGAGAAAGATATAAATGGTGAAAAATCCAGTTACCAATATGATGCCACAATTGCATAAGGGGGATCAAGAAGAGATCAGACCTGCTTGCGACTTCTCTTCCTTTTTCCAAGAGCATTAAGCTCCTCAGCCTGGTGCAGCTCAAATTTATCTTTTAACAACTCTTCCCAATAACTTGCTCTATCAGAACTGCCTGCTAAAGATTTGCTTTCAGCAGCGACTCTCTGTGCCTCTAATGCTGCTGCCTCGTTTTCATCAATATACTCAAAATTTGCCACCTTAAATACAGGAAGATCACAGAATCTTACATGGGAAATCATTTTCAGAGCTAATGACACTAAACAGTACCAGACACCCTATTTGCTTTAGAACAGTTCTATATGCATGCAAAGACAGAATGTTTTAGGGAGTTCGAATATTAAGAGGTGACAAGCAGCAATGCAGGACACAGCCTTATGTTCCAGCTAAGTCTAAAGACCACTCATATAAAACATTAAATACAATCATGCTTCAAATAAATATAACCAAATCAATAAATTGGCTCAATCAACATCACCACAAGCATAAATTTCTAACTTCAGTCATCATCACTAATTTTCATTGAGTATGCTTTCACTTTGAATCGGAACGATACAGTCAATAGACACTTTCTAAAGGCTGTCTATAAGCATCAAAGCAAACTGGCTTAAAATGCATTGATCCTACAAACTTAGCGAGTAATGATGTGACAAGATTGTGCACATCAGCAGGGATTTCGATAGCCACCCACAGTCTGAATATCACAGAATATAAGAACACAATTAACCATAGACTCCAATGGTGCATTGAAAATCAGTAAACACTGATCCAGAGAAAACAAATAGAAGAGGAAGAATAGTAAGAGACAAGAAAACCTTGAAAGCCTTTAAGAATCCATTCTCCTCTTCATCATCCACTGAGACCTCCTCAGCCTCCACGAGATCACGATCAAGCAATCTGCAGAACAGAAGATGGAGACAAATAATGAAATATGTCCATGCAATTGACTGCAACAGCTTTCATAAGAAAGGAGCAACTGGAAAGATCAGATATCCTTGTTAATCAAAAACAAAACAAGAGAAAAAAGAGTAAGGAGTCTATTACTTGTCTATAGCCGCATCATCATAATGAATTTTTCCAGACTTTCCTGCTTCGTCGTCTTCACTAGCAAAAAGCTCCTTTGATCCATACCTGATGATGTCATCTAACTCTTCCTAAAT